GCACTCTCCTTCTTCAACTTGGCCAACTGGGCCTTGGCCTCTTCAGCTTTTAGCTTGGCAGCCCCTGCTTTCCTTAGAAGGGCCCCTGCCAAGGTGGTTACCTCCATCTGGGCGGAGCATAACCCCCTCAGCAGGTCAGCCTCATTGAATCCGGATGCCGAGCGCAGGGCTGTCTCCTCCACAATCTTCACCAAGCGGTCTGCCCTCGCCCTGGTTGGGACTTCTTCTCCCTCCAACCTTCCAGCTACCGCGCGAGCGTGATAGATTGCCGTGGCCAGACGGACCCCTCCTTCCTGGGGTGCAGGGCCCCTTTGGGTCTGCTCCCTCCCGCTCGGCTCAGCCTCAGTCAACCTAACTCCTACTTGCATTGTTGGGGCAGTCTCCGCAACCTCCAGTGTTGGGGTGACCCCCACCACTTTTGGGGTATCCTTGGCCACAGGGGCCTCCACCTCAGCTGGGGCCACCTTAGCCCTCTTGGCTCCAGACTCATCTGCAGCTCCCTCTGGGGCACTCATCTTCTTTTTCTTCTTCTTCTTCAGAGCCTCCCCCTCCTTTCTGGCCTGTTCTTTTACAGGATCTACTGGGGGCGGTAGTGGCTCAAAACTGCTTAAGTCCTTCCCCCCTAGCGGCCTTGGGCGCGGTCGGATCCTCTCCCGCGCAATCGGTTGAGGCGGTCGGTCTCCTCGCGCTTCCTTCAACTTCGTGGCTTTGGCAAGTATGGCCTGATCCTCTGCTTCCCGAACTTCTCTTCTCACCTCCAATTCTGCTCGGTCGAGGTCCCCACCTCTCGGTTGCGGTCCTAACCCTACCTCAAACAATGCGGACGGCTGAACAAGCTCATCCCATTTGGCTTTCTCTCTCTCCCTCCACTCCTTCACCCTCTTCACCCTCTCTTCCGCCGCTGCCCCCAGTCTTGGCTCCATCGACCTAATGGGCACCTTCTAGATGGTGCGCACTCCCAATCCCCCATTGGCAGACACGTAGAACCACCGTGGCCACCACCCCTTGATCGATGTCGGCAGCCCCGCCACCAATCCCCTCCCCATCACTGCCTGTAGGGTGACCCACGTCTCTTGCTGCCCCGAAGCCTTATAACAGGAAAAGAACTCGTCTACCGCTATGGCTTCCCCTCCATTCGCCTTGGGCCACGCGCTAGCACAGGCCAGCAGAATCTTCCATGCATTGGGCATCAATTGCCCCGGTGCTACCTCCAGACGGTTCAGTACGTTAATAACCACTAGGGGCAGTGGCAACCTCAGCCCACCTTTTAGCGCCTCCTCATAAAGGGAAAACTCCCCTAGCTTGGCATCAGACGGGCTTTACCTTGATGTTGGCAGCAATAACTCCATCTCAGCCAGAATCTGGTATTTTTCCCTGATAGCCTCCAAACCCGTCGCAGTGATTGTGGATTTGAGGCCTTAGTGTGCCACTGATCCGGCTCTACCTGGCTTATTGGCCTTGGAGCCACTATCAGGGCCGACGCCTGCAATTGTCCCACCGGTTCCCCCACCCCCACCATTCGTGTCTCCGTCCTATATTGCGCTGCTAGCTCCTTTGCATCATCGTCTCCCAGGGGGTCCACCCTCACATTCCCCACTTCTTCTTGTGCCATTTCTAGGGTTTGCTTACGAATCACTTCTGACGCAGGAGCAAGGAAGTTGAGAAAATGTTGCAAAGGTGTGTTGTGCGCAATGAAGGAATTAACACTTGGATATTTTGAGTTTTTGTAAAAAGGTAGGTGAAATGAATTATACCAAAAACCCACGGTTTACCCGTATTCCATGGATCCAAATTAATTTTCGTCCGTTTAAAAACCTTTCAAATCAATCGCCAAAATCGCCTTTTCAAAACCCCCCTCGTGACCTATCGTTTCATTTCTACTCCAACGCTTCACTTCTCCCACGATATTGCCACGTGTATGGCCACGATGCACTGTCCCCTCCCCTTACCCTGTCCTTTCCATTTCACATCATCACATCACGGTCAGCTCCCCCCGCTCGGCCACCCTTGCGGTCGGCACGCCTAACGGTCGACCCCTCCCGCTCAGCCACCCTCACGGTCAGCTCCCCCCGCTCGGCCACCCTTGCGGTCGGTACGCCTAACGATCGACCCCTCCCGCTCGGCCACCCTTGCGGTCGGCACGCCTAACGGTCGGCCTCTCCACTCGTTTCGCACTTCTCTTCCTTATTACTATTCCCTTCGTTGGACTAAAGCTGCACTCGGAAATGGGGGACTACTGACATGGATAGGCCCATAAGGCTTACAGCCCACAGCAAACAACCCCAAACCCATCGCTTGGGACCCATAGCATAACCCGGTTGGCAAAGCCCAGGACAGCTGGAGGCCATCTGGGCATGGAGGGCCAATGACATTCGGGCACATGGCAGGTGAAACACAGGCCACATCAGCAGACAAAGATCTGCAGAGTTATTGCCACAACACATCACCATTAATGCAGCCCATCACAGCATTTATTATGAGAACACCTCCCCGTCGGAACAGAGCCCCCTCGCCCTGAACAAGGTAAGCTACGGCACAGGCTTTCGGCGGAAGGGGGCACGTCGCAAGGGACAGTGAAATAATTACCAAAGGATATAAGCAAGAATCGAAGACAAGAGAAAGGTTAAGTTTTTCTATCTCTCTCTCTCTCTCTATATTTCCTTTTTCCTCTACTGATTCGCTTGCCGGAGGGTTCACTGGGGGACTACCCCGTTCCCCTTTGGACTTGCCTGCAGGTTATCTGGTGGAATCATCTGCCTGGATTGGAACTTGAAGAGCTTGGACCAGCCCGACCCATCCACCCAGGACGAACTGCATCATCAATGTATAAATGAAAAAATTTCGGATCAATGTAAGATTTAAAAAATAACTACAAAAAGTGCCAAAAAATTTTAATATTAATAATTAAAGTTATAATTTTCTTAGGGTAAATTACACTTTGCACCCCTGCACTTTGCACCAAATCTCACTTTAACCCCTACACATAAAATCATAACAGTCAACCCTCTTCGCTTCTGGTTAAATCCCACTTTGGTCCCTACACATGAAATCTTGACAATCAACCCCCTGCACTTTTGTTCGAATCCCACTTTGGTACCTACACAAGTGTAAATGTCCTTATTCTGTCACTTCATTTTTAAATCTTTAACAAAATCCAATTATGTGAAAAAAATATAATTACGAAATGAGGGTAAGAGAGAAAAAACATCCATATTTCCCACTAATATACTTTGTCCTATGTGATAAACACGTGAGAGGTATATAATACAATATATATATACACGTTCGCATGCTAAAAATTGAGACAAAGAGGTAAGAAAATAGAGCTTCTGAAATTTTAAAAAAAATGCGACAAAGAAATCAAAGAGAAAGTAAGATGAATAGACAGAAGATGGCGTTACCGTGAAAAATATAATTTCGTGATTCCAATTTATGCAAAATCGTAGTTCGTCTTCTTAATCATTCACAATATGTTTTTTGTTTTACCTTAATATAGTCATAATGTGATGTAAATTTTGGGATAAAATGCGTATTGGTGAAAAATGTAGACGATTTTCCTCTCTTATCCTTATATCGTAGTTATATTCTTGTTATATGATTAGATTTTATTAAAAATTTAAATAATTAAGTAACAGAAAATGGACATTGACACATGTGTAAGGATCAAAGTGAGATTTGACTAAAAGTACAGGTGGTTGACTGTCACAATTTCATGTGTAGGGATCAAAATGAGATTTGACCAGAAATGCAGAGGGTTAATTGTTATGATTTTATATAGGGGTGAGAAGTGGATATACCGATTCGTCAAAACCGACCGAACCGAACTAATCCGCCGTGTTTTGGATGAATGCGTGATGACGAGCAGACGGTCGCAGATTGATTTTTTCCAATTCGCCTAGTTTTGGACAGATGGCGGATTTGAGATTTATTTGACCGCAACCGTACCGCCAAACCACGAACACCCTTGGTAATTTGTAAAATTTTGTATTTTCAATTTGTTTAGATATTCTTTTTGTATTTTTAATTGACAAAAGAGTCTAAATATTCTATTGAATATGTTCGGTTGAAAAAGAGTTTTCAACTTGAATATATTTTTTAGTTTTTAAATCTAACTCTAAAAATAATAAATAAAAAAGATGATATAAATTGGCTGATTTTTTTTTTCAAAGCCACATATATATGTAACAATACAGAGGCATACAATCTCTACTACTACTTTGTTAATGATTTTAGTGATTTGAATTGTTTTTATATTTTAAGAAGTACAAATTGTAATATTTTATGTGGATGAGACATGCTGTGATTGTAATATGTGGATGAGGCATGCAGTGATTATAATATTCTAAAATTTCAAACTTTCTTTTTTTGGATGAGACATGCAGTGATTGTAAATACTTTTTCTAGTTAATGACTGTAATACTTCTTTCTTTTCTCTTTTTTATTTTTTTATTTTTTTAAGGAGGTGCACAAATTGAATTACCAAGAACGAAGATCTTCATCACGCTGTTAATTATCTATATGCTGAACTCTATGCCAAAGATGTTCACTTTCTCATGGAACTCATTCAGGTACCTTCAATTTCTAACCTCTTTCATAAATATACATACATTACAGACAATATTTATAGACAAATTTTATTACAAAAATTTATAACCTGACAATGGATTGGAGGTTCCGTGGCCGCAACCAACTGACGCCTACCTTTATTTTTATGTGTATGGGCCAAAGTAGAATTTGGTACAAAATATAAGGGTGTAAAGTGTAATTTATCTTTTTTTTAATAAATATGCAATAAATTTCTCAAATTACATTTTGATTTCCTCATATTTATTCTTTTTGTAATTTTGTAAAATAAAAATAAAAATTTGTATGTTAAATCCCAACGGTCCAAAAAGAAAAGTTTAAACCCTAACAATCCAGTGCCCACCAAAATAACTAGCCGTTACTAGAGAGCGTCCAACGCTCACCGTTCCTTCTCTCTCCACTCACCTAAACCCCCCCCCCCCCCCTCTCTCTCTCTCTCTCTCTCTCTCTCAAACCCTCTCTATTTCTCTTTCCTCCGGTGACATCACTCTCTTTTTTCCGGCGACTCACCGATGGATTTGAGCAGCAAGAACGCCGGAGCAGTGACGCCTTCGAAAAACCCACAAGCCAATCGATCAAAGATTTCCGAAATCTCAAAACATTCGGAGAATTCCAATCCTAACTTGACAAGCCCTAGTTTGAAATCATCGAAATCACCAGCAATCAAGTCTGCTATGAAGACCCAGAGATCAGCGGCGAAAAACCCTAACCTCGTCGCTTCTCCGTCGCCGAAGAAGAAGATTCGCGAGAGGAAGTTCGTGGTTGCGAAAAGGAATTCGAAGAAAGAGAAAACAAATTCCACAACAGTCTCATGTCAGTGCAAAGACAAAGTTGGGGGTAATTCACAGAAGTGCTTGTGTCTTGCTTATGAGACTCTCAGGGCTTCTCAAGAAGAGTTTTTCAAGAATCGGGGAGCTATTGATGATGGCGATGGAGTTGAAGAAGAAGTGGAGGAAGAGAAGAACCCTGTGATTCAAACCCTAGAAATTTCAAATGGGTATGAAAGAAAACCAGAGGAAATTGATGGTTTGGCAATGAATGGATCGAATAGGGATAACGCAGATGAGATCAAGCAGTCTGGTGAAATGGGTAGTTCACAAATCAAGAGAAGGAGAGACAAGTCAGGAAAAGTGATGCTTTTGGTTAAGGCCTTTGAGGGGCTTCTTACAATACCAAATCCAAACTCAGAGGATTCAGATCAGAAGGATGAGAAAGAATCAGAAGATGATAAGAAGGGGATTGAACCGGCATCGTTGGGACCGTACCATAAGGTGCCTGAAACACAGGTCTCTTCGTCTTCATTCTGCCCATCAGATTTTTTCCTGACATCAGAGAGTTTAGGTTTGGATTCGTGTGTTTCGTCTTCATTAGACAGCAACCATGGAAGGTTGGTGACAATAATTTGATTGATTTTACATAATTTTTTGAGTTCTCAATTTGGATTTTAAATTGGTTTGTTTGGAATCCTTTGTTGTTTCACTAGTTCAAGCAGGACTTCTGGTGGTGGCCACAGAAGTCGACGAAATGTAAGCATCTAATTATTTTTTTGAAAGGAATATGTGATATATTTTCCTTCCAATGATTAATTAATTTTATTTATTTGTTAATGTAGAGCTCTGAATCATGTGGGACCTTTGGTGGAAGCCGTTGGAAGAAGAAGCAGCTCATAGCGACAAGCCAAAAACCCTTCAAGCTTCGAACAGAGGTGTGTGTGTTTATTCAGTTATCATTTTATGCCCATGAGCTCAAGCTCTTGGCTATTGTTGATTGTATTGCTGTGACACGTGAATAATCATACCATCTTTAGTGTTTTATAGCATATGAATCTATATATTTGAAATGAAATGTTTTTATTTCCTATAATATGTTCAGATTTGCATATTCAAGTTAGTGGAGGTCAAATTTGCACTTCAAATAATTAGATTTTTTTCTTTCTTTTTGGAAAAACATCGCTCATAGTCACCTGTTAAGTTTTAAATCTCACCAATGAAGTTCAAATTGGTTAAGGGTGTGCCAAAGGGAAACTATAAAATATTTCCCAATAATGACTGTTTTGTTTTGTGTCTTTGCTCCATCTCACTTGAAATCATTTTAATTTTGGTAATCGTCTTCTATTATAGCAAAGGGGAAAATACAAGGAGGAAGATTTCATCAAGAAAGTACAACAAATGATGACGGAGGAGGAGAAACAACGGATACCAATTGCTCAAGGTGTCCCATTGACAACAGATGAGCCAGAGGTGAGTTCATATGTAATATTTTGTTGAAATGTAGCGAAAATGTGTGCTTACAGTTGATGCATCATGCCCAAAACATATTAAATCGAATTCCGTAGACAGTATTAGAGAATTGAAGTGATCTTATTGAACAATTAAAGAGAGAAGAAACTCATTTGAAATGTTGATGGCATTAACAAATTGAAATATGATTTGAGAACTTTCAAATGCCCTTGGGCTCTCTCAAGTTCATTTGGTTGATGCGGTGTGTGGTATATGCAGTGCTTGGTAAAACCTCCAGTCAAAGAAACCACAAGGCCAGTTGATCTGATGCTGCATACCGATGTCAGGGCTGTGGAGCGAGCTGAGTTTGAGCAACAGGTACATTTTTAACTTTTTGTAGACAATTTTTACATGCGATTTCCATTTGAGTTTTCAGTACATATGCTCTGCCATTCTTAAACTAGCTAAAGACCCTTCACAAAAACTGAATAAGTTCAATTTACCCTTGCCTTCTTGTGGGCTCTCCGGGAAGAGAGTTTGATTTGTATTAACATTTTTACCCTTGTCTTCTAATTGTTAACATTTTAAATTTTTTATTTTTATTTTTTATTGCTTTATGTGTTTTATGAGGTTTTGATTGTGTTCTAATTGTTGACATTTTTTTAATGTGGTAATTAAGTTGTATTTTTGGAATGATGAATGAAAGTTCAGTTGTTATTTTAATTGTTTTTAGTTGTTTTTGCTTTTCTTTTTTTTTTCTTATTGTATATTGTACTTATTTATGATGCTTTTGTTTTTTTTTTATTTACATTTTTTAATGCATTTTTTATTCCAGGCTAAGGAATTTGTCATTTCTTCTCTAATATTGAAGTTGTTGCTTTCATACCTTAATTCACCAATTTTTATTGTTGTTGATTGTTTTCTATTTTTTTGAGGTTGACTGTGTTCTAATTTTTATCATTTTTTTAGGTGTTAATTAAGTTATTTTTTTTGTTATTGTCTGGTTTTTCCGGTTGGTTATGAGTTGTTTTTTATGTTGATGCAATTGCTTTTTTTCTTAATGTTTTCTTGGGTGATTTGTGAGTTTTTTTTTTTCCTTTTAATTCTTATGATTTTTTATGTTTTTTTGCATGCATTGTTGCATGAGTTTTGGGTGTTTTCTATGTTTATTTTTTATTTTAAATTTTACTAGGTTTCTATGTCATTTAAGTTGTTGCTTTCCAACCTCATTTTTATTTTTTGTGTTTTCTAAGGTTTTGATTGTGTTTTAATTTTTACCTTTTTTTTAATGTGTTAAATGAGTTCTTATTTTTTTTGGCTATTTTCTAGTTAATTCAAATCATTTATGAGTTTTTATTTTTATTTTTTTTATGAGCTTTGTTCATTTAATTTTTTTATTCAATTTTAAAATTTTTGTATTCAACTGGATCATAAAAGTTAAATTTTTTTTTTTTATATTGTTTTTCAAATATGTTTTCTTAAGTTTTGATTTTAATTGTTTTTTTATTTATTTTCCAAGTGCTTTTTCTTAAGTTATAATTTTTAAGTTGTTTTTTATTTTGCTTTTTGTGTTTTTTGAGGTTTCGATCGTGTTTTAATTTTTACCATTTTTTTAATTTGTTAAATAAGTTCTTATTTTTTTGGCTATTTTTTAGTTAATTCAAACCATTTATGAGTTTTTATTTTTATTTTTTTATGAGCTTTGTTTTTTTATGAGTTCTTATTTTATGATCATAAAGTTTTTTAATTGTTTTTTTTTTTATTTATTGATTTTCCAGATACTTTTTCTTAAGTTATAATTTTTAAGTTGTTTTTTTTATTGCCTTTTGTGTTTTCTAAGGTTTTGATTGTGTTTTAATTTTTACCTTTTTTTTAATGTGTTGAATAAGTTCTTATTTTTTTGCTATTTTCTAGTTAATTCGAATCATTTATGAGTTTTTATTTTAATTTTTTTATGAGCTTTGTTTATTTTATTTTTTTTGTTATTCAATTTTTAAATCTTTGTATTCAACTGATCAAAAAAATTTTTAATTGTTTTTTTTTATTATTTTTTTTATTGATTTTCCAATTGCTTTTTCTTAAGTTATAATTTTGAAGTTGTTTTTTTTATTGCTTTTTGTGTTTTCTGAGGTTTTTGATTGTGTTTTAATTTTTACCATTTTTTTAATTTGTTAAATAAGTTCTTATTTTTTTGGCTATTTTCTAGTTAATTCAAATCATTTATGAGTTTTTATTTTAATTTTTTATGAGCTTTGTTTATTTTATTTTATTTTGTTATTCAATTTTTAAATTTTTGTATTCAATTGATCATAAAGTTTTTTAATTTTTTTTTATTGATTTTCCATATTTTTTCGTAAGTTATAATTTTTAAGTTGTTTTTTTATTGCTTTTTGTGTTTACTAAGATTTTGATTGTGTTTTAATTTTTACCATTTTTTGAATTTGTTAAATAAGTTCTTATTTTTTGGCTATTTTCTAGTTAATTCGAATCATTTATGAGTTTCTGTTTTTCGTTTTTTTAATGAGCTTCGTTTATATCATTGGTTAAATAAGTTCTTATTGTTTTGGCTATTTTTTCTATTTAATTCGAATCATTTATGAGTTTTTATTTTATTTTTTCTGAGCCTTTTTTGTTTTTTGTTATTCAATTTTTAAATTGTTGTATCATAAGGTTTTTTAATAGTTTTTTTTTTTATTGATTTTCCAAATACCTTTTCTTATGTTATAATTTTTAAGTTGTTTTCAAGTGTTATGCAATTGTTTTTTTCTTATTATTTTATTGGGTGATTTTTTTCTTATGAAGGATTTTTTTTGGTAAACAAAATTTTTATTTATTTATTTATTGTATTGTTTTCTCCAGGCTATGGAATTTGTCATTTGTTCTAATGTTTTTATCATTTGTTCTAATATTTTTGTTGTTTTATTTTTAAATTTTGTTGACGTTCTCTGATATTTAAGTTTTGCTTTCATATCTTAATTCAGTCATTTTTAATTATTTTTTATTGTCTTTTGTGTTTTCTAATGTTTTCATTGCATTCTAATTTTTTCCATTTTTTAGGTGTTAATTAAAGTTATTTTTTTGTTGCTACTTGTTTTATGAGTTTTTTTATTTTTTGTTTTTTAAAATATTTTTTCTTGTGTTACAATTTTAAAGTTGTTTTCTAGTGTTAATGCAATTGCTTTTTTCTTATTGTTTTCTTGGATGATTTATGATTTTTTTTGTTCTTTTAATTTGTAGTTGTTTTAAGTTGTTTTGTAGTTATTTTTTGGAACAGATTCTACTAGCCTGTTGAAGTCTGTCTTTTTAACATTGTTTAAAACTCTCTCTCTCTCTCTCTCTCTCTCTCTCTCTCTCTATGTTTTGCATTTGGCACCAATCCTTTAGGTTGATTGTATTGACTAATTGAGTTGGGCATGCTGTGTTGTGGTCTTTATTATGATTTCAAACATGTCTATAATGTTTCCACTAGTTCTTGCTCATAATCATATGTAACTTCTTTTTTTTTTGTTGTTGTGTTTTTTGTAACTTTGTATATTAGATGGCAGAGAAGATGAGCCGTGTTGTACAGTACAGGATGGAAAGGGAAAGACAGCAGAAGGTACATATACATGACAGCAAAACCCGTCATGGTGTTTTTTCGGTGACATTACTTGTTAATTTTGCTGATATGTGTGCATTGTTGGGAATTTTGCTGATATGTGTGCATTGTTGGGGCTTTTGGTCTTGTAGTTAGCAGAAGAAGAGGAAATCAAGAGGCTGAGAAAGGAGCTTGTTCCAAGAGCTCAACCCATGCCTTATTTTGACCGGCCTTTCATCCCTAGAAGGTAACAAAACAAATTCCAGCATTTCTAAAAGCTGAAAAGGAAATTTGGTGGGAAAATAAAGATTTAGGGGAGTAAGGGGAAAGCGAATGGATTAGGGACCCCATTTTTTTCCACAAAATGATTCTTAAAAGCAAAATGTCGTTTTTATTTCTTTGAGTCTGTATGGTGTTTGGAGATGTTGGTAGAAAACACATACCTACATAATTTTTAAGGCAAATTTCACGCCAATCACGCCAATATGTGCATTACTCCCTGTCATTTTTAAATAAGCACGTAATCCCTGATAATTCATAGATACTATTAGACCCGTTATCTTTGTACATAATAAGTAACTTCATTGTGCAAACTACGTACGGACATTTTGTATTTTTTGTTGGAGGCAAAATTTACTTTAATCCTCTATGCTTTATTTCATGTGCGGTTTTACCCTTTTGACATTTTGTCTTTTTTGTTGGAGGCAAAATTTACGTTAATCCTCTATACTATACTTTATTTCATGTGCCGTTTACCCTCTTGACATTTAGAAATGATAACATAACTTCCTTGTGGCACGTGTTTTCAGAGTAATTAGCTTGAACATAATGCATTTAGTTTACAAACCACATGGCGTTTTAGGAGTTATGAGAGTAAAATGAAGTTTGCCCTAATTTTTATCCATTGTTGATTGCTCTATCTACAAGTAAATGGGATGAATAATTCTTGAAAGCAACATTTATAATATTTACTTTGAGTCCCAGTGGTGTTTGGGGAAGTGGATAGAAAATCTCATATTGTTTAAATTATTATTATTATTTTTTTAACTTATTTCCAAATATCATTCCACTAAACATTGTTGTATCTGTAATTCTTTGTGTTTGTTTTCTTCAGGTCAGTGAAGCACCCCACCATGCCCAAAGATCCGAAGTTCCATATCCCACCACAGCATAAGAAGATCAAGTGTTGCATGTCTTGGAATGATTTGTTGTCTCTACACACAAACAATGAAATGCAATGAAGGAAGATTTTTTTTTTTTTTTTAATATTCAATTTATTTGTTGTCGATTGCCTAATAAATGCTACTTTTTTTCTTCTCTTCATGCTCTCCAATATTCTTCCCTCTTGTATATTTGAAGCAATCAAATTAGTTGCAATTTTGGTGGAACAAGGATAAAAATCTCATATTCATTAATTTTTCTGCCCTTTTCTAGTGTTAATAACACCCATTAAGAAGTTGCTTTCTTGCTTCAGTTGTCCTGAATGCAGTATTTATGTGAGTCCTGTATCGTTACCTAATGATAGAATAGTAAGTGTTTTTTGATATTCCAGACAGATTATTGAAAATATTGTACCAAAGGCTCAAACAACCCTAAAAACATGATTATCGGTGCAAAGATAGGCTCTGAAGCACCAAAGATAGGGGGTGGTGCTTATGCAAAAGGGATTGATTCATCTCCCATTTGGCATCAGTTCTCTAGTTTTCCCTATTTCAAGATTCCCACTATTGTACACTTATAAAAGTGTAGGTGATTGGTTACATACGACATTTTGAGGGCAACGCCCCTGTACGTTATTGTCATGCCATCATGATGCCTCTGGTTTTTCATATTTCAATATGCTCATTATATCATACAATGTTAATCCTTGAGTAAAATACAAACCTCCAATGGAACTTAAAACTGGCATAATTAAAAGATTGCAGCAGTGAGTGTACAAACTATCGACAAATTAAAGCAGTAGAACTCGATAATCTTAGTAGAGATTGTAAGAATATGACAAATAATTGTAATTTTATATTTAAACTTTTTTTTGTCTTTATCTCTCTGTATTTATTTTTATAAAGACATTTTAATCGAACATTGTGTAAAAGTTCAATTCTGATTATCTGAACACGATGAACAAACTCACCTTTCCAACATACAAATGAGATAAATAAAATCACCCCTCATTCCATTACATTGAAACTAAATCAGAGAATTATTCAATTGTATTGGTGTGGTGCTTGTTAACAAAGTAGATATGTAATAATGTTAGGATGACTTTTGGGTTTTGTTTGTATATACAACATGTAGTCTATAAACAATGTAAATTCCCTCAATCTTCGTTGCCTAAACTTCTCCTTTCCTTATTCTTGTTTTTGCTCCATCATAACTCCATAATAAAAATAGTAGAAAGCTCATTTCCTTTTTGTTGTGAAATTGGTATCAGAGCCTGGTGAAGAACTTTTGAAAGCAAGATCAAGCTATGTAAGTATTTCTATCTATATACAAATTTTGATATACATATATAAGTGTGTATGGTGTTCTTAATGATATTAAAAAAAAAAAATCCAAAAAATATTATTCGTCAAGTTTACTCTTTAATTGTGTATTCTTTGTATTTCATATCTTCATAATTATTTGTTTCATTTATAATTATTGTAAAACTTATATGCTTAGTGTATGTCAAAACTCTTATGCTCATTAAGATCTTTTGACTAGTGGCCATAATTAGGCATTTTTAAGTCTTTAAGATCATAAAGAGAGGTTTTAGGCACCAGATTATACACTAGGAGGGTCTTAGGTACGAACAATAATCTATAATAGCAATTAACCCTGAAGATATAATATATTTGAAAATACAAAAAATAATGTTAATAATAAATATGATCATAGTTTGCATATTACAAAAGAGTCTGCACATATAAATAGTGTGTTATAGTTTAAACAATATTACAAATATTATGTGTTCTTGGTTTTCTAAATTAGATAAAAATAAAAAAATAAATCAAAATTATTTACAAAGCAAAGTTGAGTATATAGAATCTAAAATAGACAATTTAAGTTCTATAATAAATATTAACTTAAACAAAGAAGCAAAAACCCAAATGAACAATTTGGTGATGAAATTAGAAACTATATCCTTTATAAACAATGATGGACTAGGAGATAACTCCATTCCTAAGCCATTTTATAGTACAGAAGATATTATGGTACTTCAAACCAATACCTATAATAGGGCTGAATATGAAAATATTGTTGAGTTATTGGATTATTGGAGAAAATTATATAAAGACCCAGATTTAGGTATTGATGAAAGAAATATGCTACTAGATTAAATAAGAGAAACTTATCTAGAACATGAAACCCTTTTACAACACTTTAATTAGGATATTAATATGTCAACTAATGATGATGATAGTCAATCATCCTTATCTGAAGAAACATTAGATCAAGATATTTCACCAGAAATAAATAAGAGAAAAAGAAAGGCAAAAGAGGCAATTGATCCCGAATTATTTGGCACATGAAGATATAGAGAAAATTTTGACTTTATTCAAACAAATGAAGTTAAAAATGATACTAACACTGGAAGTACCTCCAATCCTATACCTGAACCAATAATATCTAGAAAAGATAATAATCATAAGTATCTAATAGCTCAAAATGGTACTTATTTAGATTTGTCTCATGTTCCATTTAAGGATCATCCACAAGCAATTGATGATTGGGCACAATCGTTGTCCATCATTATTACCAATTATAAAAATAGTTGGTCAAAGGAAAAATTCCTTGATTATATTGCAGCAACTCTCCAGGGAGATGTGTTGTGATGGTTACAACAGTGGGAAAAATCTGAAATTAAAAAAAGCCAAAAAACGGCTTTGTTGGCAAATTTTCTCACACTTGATACAATATTAGATGAGTTTGCAAAAATCATAAAAGAAAATTTATGTGGCTTTGCAGGAGATACTAATTTGCAAGCCGATGCAAATTATATTTTGACAAAATTAGAGTTATGTAATATTTGTCTTTTTGAAGATTATGCTCAAACTTTTAAAAAATATTATTATCTTATTGATCCACCAGCAAATCAACCCTGACTAGATCAATTTTTTCATAAACTCCTTAATCCATGGGATGAGTTATGTATTAAAACATAACCAAATTTTCTCAAAAAAATGGGAAATGAATAATATGATAATCTTGGTTTTCGCATTAATTATGTTCTAAGACTGATAGTATATCAGTGTCTAGAAGCACAAATAAAAAAAATCAAATTTTCAATTCACAATATGGTCAAAAATGTTGTGATAAAATTTTGAAAGAAAATTGAAAAATTGGTTATAATGCATTTCCTAAACAAAAAGGATTTTTCAAAAAACGCAAAAAATATAAATGAAAACCTTGGAAAAAGAACAAAACTGTTTCAAAAAAGAAAAGTATATTCGAAAAAAGAAACCAACAAGTGTTTTAAAAAAGAAAACTTGTAAATGTTACATTTGTAATGAAGAAGGTCACTATGCATCCGAATGCCCAAACAGGGAAAAAAAATGCAAAGAAAATGATCAAAGTTTTTAAAGAACAAGATTTTGAAATAATAAATGGTGAAGGAATTTCTGATGAATAAGAAATCTTATACGAAATTTCTAGTGATGAAGAAAGTTCAAATGAAGAACTAATCTTCGTGATGACTAATATTAATAGTCAAGAAATATCTCAAGAAGTAGATAGTATATCTCCAGAAGAATTACAAGCAATTCGACTTGGAGATGTAATCGGAGAAGAAAAAACTTTTATCGAAAAAGAATTAACAAAATTCGAAAAAATGCAAGAAGTTGCTGTTCCAGAAATTTATAAACTTTCAAAATTTAACTTTATTTTTTAGCGAAAGTGTTTGAACAATACAGTGGTAACATTCAAGCAAAATGGTCAGAAGAAGGAAATATTGATATCCCTTTTTTTGATAAGAAAAAGAGTGCAAGATGGAAAAAGAAATATCCTGAAATTCAATATATTCATATTGGATTAATTCAAGTAACCATAACAGTCTTATTTCGCCAGGGGATAGATACTCCTATTTTGGCAGTAATTTTTGATAAAAGATTTTCTGATCCAATGAACGCAATCATTGGAGGAATTCAATCTAATTTGGCTAATGGAGTGGTTTGGTTTAATGTTAGACCAAATTTCTTTATTTCCATAAATGATCCTAATCTTGAAGACACAACTAGAATAAGAATTAAAACACAAGGATTAGGAATGAAATCTAATTAACATGATTTGGCTATTCGTTGGAAAACAATTTACAAATTGACCAAATTTCCTGAAAAAAAAAAAGATCAAACGATAATAAAATCGTTGAAATCTTTGAACCAAGACCATTTGACACAGTAATCCAACTGCGTCTAATGAATTGGAGTGGTTTAGAAGTCCCTCGACGATGGTTAATCCATGACCTAGTGGAATAAGGAGAATCTTTTAAAACAAAAAATCCTGTACAATTATAAATGCAAGCATCAAGAAAAAATTTATATATTGAAGATACAGTTCCAAAAATTAAAAGATCAACTTTTGTATTTGAAAAAGAGTTTCCTAACAAATCATTTTTAAATTTAAGCATGAGAGAATTGAGTAATAATTCTAATCAAGAATCTATTACTTCAACAAATGTTCAGATTTCCTATTTTTCCAGGAACAAGTAGGAATGCAACGGGGCGCGGGCGGGGCGGCGGGGCGGGGCCGGGGACTACCCCCCGTCCCCGATCCTCGAAAGTAATACTCCCCCCGTCCCCGATCCTCGACGGGGACCCCTAATTCCGGCCCCATCCCGGCCCCCGATCGGGGATCGGGGATCCCCGACCCCGGATAATCCCCTTTTTTTTTTATATTTTTTATTTATTTATTATATGTAAAAATCTATAAACATCAATAAACATTCTCAATCATCCTTCACTATTGGATGTATAAATTTTGGAATTTATCAGTTGGAATATCAACCCTAATAGCTTCATTTTTTTAATTAATTAGAATTGTAGCAACATCCATAAATCTGTAGCAACATCCATCAGTTGGAATATCATTTTTTTAATTAATTAGATCAATAAATATCAATAAACATCCATTTAAAAAACATCATCTGTAGCAACATCCATAAATCTGTAGCAACATCCATTTAAATCAATAAATATCAATAAACATCTTGTAGCAAAACATCAATAAACATTAATTCAGCAGCCCATACATACACAACCCACACACAAAGCATCCCGTAGCAACAAAATAACACAACCAAAACATGTGTCCAGCAGCACACAAGAAAATTCAACAAGTAGTAAAGAGAATAATTAATCCCAAGCACAACCCGCAAGGGATAGGTTACCCAAAAATTGAAATTAAAAATAAAAATAAAAATATCCATTACAATATAAAAAAGCAATTCCATTGTTTCTTCAAACCCATACAAACCACACAACTTCCATCATCTCCTTCAACTTGAACTCCTGTTAAATAACAAAAGGAAAAAAAATAAATAATTAATACTAATAATAAAATGTAAAAAATATTAATTACAACAAAAAAGATGACAACTAACACAAAAGTGGCACATGACTAGTCCGACTCGATCTCATCTTCATCATATATAGTTGCATAGCCCACCGATTCCAATGTTGAATTTCCTAAAAAGTAAAGAATATAAATTCAATAGTGAAATTATTCCATGGTAATATAAATAATAAAAAGTGAAATAATAATATGTAAATTGGATGAACTAATACCTTTCATCTCTTCACCCCACAACCAACTTTGTGCACACATTAATGCTTCTAATGTGTTTGGATGAAGTCTACTACGATGTGGACTCACCAACCTTCCACTAGTACTAAATGCTGACTCAGAAGCAACAATGGATACAGGAATAGCTAAAATGTCCCTAGCTATTGCCTGTAAAGTCGGATACTTTGGTCCACTAGCTTTCCACCAATTCAAAACATCAAAACCTGAAATTCTTGGCAAAACATCATCTTCTAGATAATGGTCCAACTCTGATCTTACATTCTTCATTTGTTTACTTCTCTTTCTACTAATAAACAAATCAAATTTTGAAAGGGTCTCTGTAACAATTTCTGGATGAGCAGAAGAGTCACCAACAACATCGGTCTCCATACCAACTCAGTGCTGATACTCTTGCAACAAATCATAACAAATATGACGAACCCTATCAACTTCATCTTCAGCTTTGTCTCCATAAAGTTTTTCAAAATAAAACTCCAATACACTCATCTTATACCTAGGATCAAGTACAACTGCAACCCCAATAACACCATGTATCACTAACCAATATTTATCAAAATTTTCCACCATTTTTGATGCCATTGTTCTGATCACTTCAATTTCACAAGAGAGCCATTGAGACAGTGCCATCCTAATCTCACATAAAGTTGGGAAACAAACATTGGCTGTGGGATATTTTGTATTAGAAAACAACTCAGTGATAGAAAAAAAAATCTTAAACCTCCCACTAATCTCTCTAGCAAACTCCCATTCTTGCTCAGTTGGCACAGTCTTATATTGGGGCTCTCTAATTTTCAACCTAGAAAAGACATCCTTATACAATAAGGCTGTCTGAAGCATCAAGTAGGTCGAATTCCACCTAGTTGCACAATCAAGTCCTAATTTCTTAGTATGTGGAATACGCAATTGGTTGACTGTTTCTTCAAATTTTTCTACTCTTTTTGGTGTTGCTGTCCAATAAGCTACACTCTCTCGAATTTTCTCCACACCAACTCGTATGACATCCAATCCATCTTTCACTATCAAATTCAAAATATGCGCACAGCAATGCATATGAAACAAAGTACCACCCAACAAAAGCGATGAATTAGTTAACTTATCCATCAACATGGTAATCATGGCGTTATTTGTGGCGCAATTATCAACAGTAACAGTCGAGATTTTTCTATCAATATTCCAATCCATCATACACTCAAGCAAAGTATCACCAAGAACTTCTTTTGTGTGTGGACATGGAACATAAATAAACCTAAAATATGATGTTCATAAACAAGTATTAATAACATGCAAATTGAACTGAATAAGATAGAATTTTTAAATGATTTGCAAATTTACAAAAATATACCTCAAAATGCGACTTTGCAATGTCCATGAATCATCAATAAAGTGTGCGGTGACAGCCATGAATCCGTTCTTTTGATTGCTAGCAGTCCACATATCAGTTGTGATTGCCACCCTACTTTTATTAAGCTCCACCAAACTCAATGTCTTCACCCTCTCATAATCATAACTCTTTAAAATATCACTCTTTATCGTATTTCGTGAAGGCACTTTAAACAATGGTTGAAGTGTTGCTGAATATCGTTTAAAACCAACATGGTCTATGATAGAGAGGGGATATTCATGCAAGATTATGGCATGTGACAACTCTTTCCTAGCAAAATCTTGATCAAAGATATAAGAATTCATTTTTGGAATCTCTCTACTAAAGTTGTTAGTTAACACTTTTTGCCTCATGTCCATCACTTTTTCCTAGTACAACTCTTATGGTGATCATGCAAATGCCTAGTTCAATTTTTTGAATCACCTCCAAGATCCTTATTACAATAATTACATATTGCCTTCCACACCCCATTGACTTCTTGTTTTTTAAAATGTTCCTACACAACACTTGGTTTTCTTTTAGTTCCTCCACAAGTAGTATTTGACTCTTCTAAATCAATAACATGTTGATTAGAGAGGGGAGACGGTGAGTTCGTAGGTGCGTTCGTAGCTGGCGATGAATGTTGTGACGCGTCACTCTCAAATGGTACTTGAGAGTTAACGGGTGCTTCAGAGTTAACTGGTGCTTCAGAGTTAACATTTGACATTTTTAACCTTTATAAAAATAATATGGATTGAATTAATATAAATAAATTAAGTACTCATCATCTTTTAAACAAATTATGACATGATTGAAACATAATTGTAGAAGATTTCAAAAGACAAACATTAATTCAATTGATAAATTTAGCATCTAGAGATGAAGTGAACCCCAAAATAGGAAGAAAGCACACAACATTAAAACTAACCATTAGAAGCCTATATTACATCAAATAGAAGCCTGTATTACATCAAATAGACCTGCTGTTTGAGGTCTCAGAAAGAACAAGGGAAGAAATTACCACACTGTAATATATAATATCAATTTGAAATAATGAAACTTGGATGAAAACTAACCATTGAAGACACTAATCCAACTAAGTAAAGGAAATTGCAATCATGGAAGTATAGAATTAACAATTAATCTCTCATGAAGATAATAAAACACTACAATATAAATTAAAGAGGCAAAGAAACCAGATTAAGAAATTAAGAAAAATAAATGAATGTTCTATGCCCTTGAAAGAGAAATACATAATTTGTGATCTACAAAACTAGAGCACTTGATATTCAATAAGCCTTTCTTGTTTCCTAACAATAAACATTTTGTGACCTACAAAAGTAGAGCACTTGGTACTCAATAATCGTTCCTTGTTTTCTAAGAAGTGTTGTGATGCATAAAAACATCAAAGTTTATTTAGTAATATTGGCTGTAAGAGGGCCTTTTTTTTAAATTTTTTTTATGTAGTTAAAAAAAAAAAAGCACAATCTTTTCCCTTATTTTCTTCTCTCTCTTAACATGACAAATTATTTCTTTTCTTTTCTATTCTAGCTTGCCAAACATAGTGTAAAACTAGCTTTACTTTACTGAAACATAGCCAATTTGTAGAAACTTTCCCATTCTTCATAACAATCTATGGAGACTAAGATTAACATGAATAGGCTCCACATGCAAGGAAGCAATAGAATCAAAATACCAAATAATTTACATTTCTGGAGACTAAGATTTGAATTAGATAAATTTTTCTTAAACTCTGCAATCAATCAGTGTTATTTCATGGATAAGTGAAATTGAATTAAATCTGGTTTCATGAACATGTGTAGGAGAATAAAACAAGGCTAGTAGTACAAGTCAAGAACAATTCTAATTGACCAAATAATTTGATAATCAGAATAAGGGTCCATCTTTTCCATGAAAGCAAACCTGTACACAACCCCTGTGAAGAGCACCACCTCCAAGATACTTGTTAGCAAAATCCACTTTAAGAGCTTCACAAGATTGATCTTCTATCAAGCCAGACCAGTAAACCTATAACAACAACAAAGATGAAAAACATCATATCCTTGCAGTAAACCATTGAAAGTTGGGTTACTAAACCAACAAAAATGTACACACAAATTAAACAAGTATATATGTTCCTTTGTTACCTTGAAACGACAGAGAGGAATAGAAAATGTGCTCCAAAAATCAGCCTTTGGATAAGAAACACAAGGAAAGCTATTTTCCAAACAGATTCAAAGACTCCTAATCTAGCTGAAGAAGGTTCAACATAAAATAGATTAAAAAAAAAACAGATCTATATATATCCAGGGACAGATCTATAAAATAGATTAAAAAAAAAATAGATCTATAAAATAGATTAAAAAAAAACACAAATCCAGCTGAGAGAGAGAGAGAGAGAGAGAGATACCTAAACAGAGATGGGAGGCGCGGTGGTGACGGAGGGAGGATCGCCGGTGACGGAGGAAGGCGCGGCGGTGACAGAGGGAAGAGAGAGGGACAGACCGGTGGCGAGAGAGAGAGAGAGAGAGAGAGAGAGAGAGAGAGGAGCCGCGCGAGTGTGAGAGGCTTTGAGTGTGTGTGTCTGTGAAACCCTAACAAAGACAAGCATATGAATATTTATATATATCCAGACAAAAGGGTCATTTTACCTCGGGGACTATGCGGGGCGGGGCTGGGCCGGGTCCGGTTCTGAAACACATATCCCCGTCCCCGGCCCGGATATCATCGGGGATGGATTTTTGAATACCGTCCCTAGCCCGTAGAGGATATTTTTCGGTGAATAACCGCTGAATTCGGGGTCGGGGGGTCGGGTCACCATCGGGCCGGTTTCAGATTGCCATCCCTAGGAACAAGAAGACAATGTGAACATATTAAATCCACATATATGTATCATTTTCAAACAAAAAATGATGATATTAATTTTTCTCCTAGCCAAGAAAAAAGAAGATACACATATGTATTGGAAACATTTAATTTTGCAGGTTATAAACTCTATAGCCTAAGTGTTCTCATAGACACAGGAGCTACAATCAGTTCATGTAAATGAAATGCCATACCAAAAGAAAAATGGTCATTAATGAAACATCCAATTTTGGTTACTGGAATTGATGGCAACCATAATTCCATACAATTCAAGGCTAAAAATATAGTTATTTCGTTAAATGATAGCAAGTTTATTATACCAAAAATTTTATGTTTTCCTTATATGCATAGGGATTTCCTTCTAGGAAATAATTTTATCTATAAATACCTTCCAATGCAAATATGGGAAAAAACCATTTCATTAAGCATAAATAATGTCTTAATTCATATTTCCTTATTAGAACAACATAAATATATTTGTGATAAAGAGTTTGTGCCCGTTCCGCATGGTGATTTAACTCCCATCATCAAAACTATTGATGAATTACATTAGATTTATAAAATTTTGGAAGAAAATTTTAGTGAAAATCCATTAAAACTATGGCAACGTAGTTCGCGTTATTGTAGTTTGAAATTAAAAGACCCTAATGTTATTATTAGAGTTTGACCAATGATCTATACTAGACAAGATATAGATGAATTTGATATTCAACTTTAGGAACTTTTAAAAAAAAGTTAATCGAAGTCTAGAAGCCTTCACTCTAGTCCAACTTTTATGGTAAGAAACCATGCTGAAATTAAAAGAGGAAAAACCCGAATGGTAGTTAACTATAAACGGCTAAATGAAAATTTAGAATTTGATGGATATTTTATTTCATGAAAAGATGTTTTGATTAACTTAACCAAAGGATCAAAAATATTTAGCAAATTTGATTGTAAGAGTGGATTTTGGCAAATTCAATTGATTGAAGAGTAAAAAAAATTGACAGCTTTCAGTATACCTAGAGGACATTACCACTGGAATGTTATGCCTTTTGGGTTAAATATAGCACCACAGGTATTTCAACGGTGGATGGATACAATTTTTAGAGATCTTAAAGATTGTTATGTAGTTTATATTGATGACATACTTATCTTCTCTAAAATTCGGGAGGAGCATAAGAAACATTTAAAATTATTTTGTGAAAAATTTTAAAAACATGGAATTATTTTCTCACAAAAAAAGATTGAACTAGAAAAGAATCAATTGAATTTTTGAGGATAATTTTAGGCCAGAAAAGTTTAAAATTACAAGAACATATTTTGTCCAAAGTACGGGATTTTCCTGTTACTCTTGAAAATATAACACAATTACATAATTTATTAGGTATTTTAAATTATGAACGAAATTTTATCAAAAATCTTTTAAAAATAGAAATTCCTTGGTTAACTAAATTAAGGAAAAATGTTATTTTTAAATGGACGACAGAAGATGTTGCTTTAATTAAACAAATTAAGAAAATGTTAAAACTTTACTAGATATTTATCTTCCTAAAACAGGTGATAAATTAATTTTAGAAACAGATGCCTCAAAAGCATGCTGGAGATGTGTTCTTAAAGCAATACCAAGTAATTTATTGCATGATAAAGAGATACCTTTATTAGAAAATGAGATTAGACCAAGAAAAAATTCAATACCCATAAAATTACAAAAAAGAAGAATTAATTTGTGGATATAATTCTGGAACATTTAAACCAAATAAATAGAAATATATTATTTTTGAAAAAGAATTACTTGCGATAAAATTGGCAATAAATATTTTTCATATTTATTTAGCCCCAGAAAATTTTATTGTACGCACTACTGATAATAAGGCAGTAAGAGATTTCTTGATCACTAAAAAAACCTATTGAGCAAGGAAGAAGATTAGCCTGGTATAATAAAGGTTGCGTTTGCTAGAGTTTTGTAAGTATGATTTGAGAGTATGAGTTGTATTTTGAGTTTGTGAGTTTTGGAATTATGATTTGAGTGTGAAAAATTTGTTTGGTAAAAGAGTTTTGAAAAGAGTTTTGAATTGAGTGGAGAATTTTTGATGTGACATATGATATTTGATACAAAAACTTACAATTTATATCCAAACATACAACTCAAAATTCTATTAAAGCACATAAATTTTTTTAAAAAATTCGAAAAATATTTTTTTCGAATATATAAAAATTAACATATGTCAATTGTAAAAAAAAAAAAAATTGCACGGTTCCGGTCAACCGGTGGGACGTCCGGTGGGACGACCGGTTAGGCCAAATTTGATTTTTTTTTTGAAAAACGTGCCCCACACAGAGTTTTCAGTAGAGTTGTGGAAATGTGATTTGAGAATTCATTCCAAACATCATATTGGAATATGGGTGTAGAATCATTGTTTGGAAACACAACCAAGCACAGCCAAAATTTCTAAATATACTTTTGAGGTAGAACATCTTAAAGGTACTAACAATTTTCTTGCAGATTTTCTTAGTAGGAATTGTTTCAAAAAAAATTAAATTACTGAACAAGTAATTTTAATTTTTGCAAAAGACCTCTACACCAAGAGGAAACAATGGATAAGGATAAACAATCCGCTCAAAGAGATTGGATGACAATTGCTAAAAAAGTAATTCCCAGACAAGAAAAAGTTTATGTTGTGTTTTCAGGAAGACAACCTGAAATTTACACAGAATGGAATGATTGCAAAACGCAAGTTTGGAAATTTTCAGGAGCAAGCTATAAATCTTATGATAGCATGACCACAGCTAAAAAACTTTTTATAGTGCACCTGCTATGCCTGGTTATCAAAATATTTTTTGTCAAATGAGAACTAATCCAATTATAACTAATATTTAGACATCTAAACCAGATAAATCTGAAATAAAAGATTTTTTCAACCCTAGTATATCTAGAGAAATTTATACAGAACTCAAGGTAGTTTGGAAAACTCACATTGTAGACAACAAAGTGAAATTTCGAAAACACATGGGAGTTCTAGCCAACAAATTAGCTAAGTAAACGCCTAAATTAAAAGATTTGGAGTGAAGATTTTTTTCAACCATACCAGATTTGGTACCTCAAAGAAACCGAAGATTTTGAATTTGAAGATGATTATTTGGATGAAGATCGCCAGAGGGAGCGATTGAAAAATATTCAAAAACTTTCTTTGACAGAATATTAGATAGACAGTCTAATATCTATTTTACAGACAACGTCCAATATCCATGGCTCAACAAAATTGCCATTAATGGTCATAGATGGTAGAAGACTATTTGTAACCCATTTTCCTATAACATATCAAAGGTCTCTTACACAAATTAATGAAGCTCTTGACATTTTATTAAATCTCAAGAAGAGAAATAATTTGGATCTTCCGTTGTAACTAACCATGACTGCAGATGATGTAGAACATTTTCGGAATGAGCAATACAGCCAGGATCTTGATTCGCCTCCATTAAAGACTGATGAAGAATATCATAATCTCATCAACGAGATGGAAGCATAGTGAACCCCACTATCACATGCAGCTGTCTCCTAATCGACTCCAACCTTATCTAGGATACGTGGAGCAACCTGTATTATTAGGCAGAAAGTAGTCAGACAAATCCTTTCAGCCGACGCTACACGACAGAAAAGATCAGCAAAATCTTATCTGTTTCAGTCTATCCCTTTGAAAATCGGGGAGGGTAGACAGTGTATATAATTGTAGAAACTATAGAGATTATCAGAATATGGCAAATAATTGTAGCTTTGCATACTTTTTTGTCTTTATTTCTCCTTGTATATATTTTTATGAAGATATTTTGTAAAAGCCTATACATAAGCTTGTAGACTTTGCAAAGTTTTGGCCGTATTGGTGTGGTGCTTGTCAACAAAGTAGATATGTAATAATGTTAGGATGACTTTTGGATTTTGTATGTATATACAACATGTAGTTTATAAATTGGCTTTCTAGCCAACATAATAAACAATGTAAATTCCCTTCATCTTCATTGCCTAAACTTCTCCTTTCCTTATTCTTGTTTTTGCTCCATTATAACTCGTTGGAGTAACTAGCTCGTTGGAGCACCTAGCTCTGATACCATAAAGAAGAAAAGAAACTAAATATTATCTCAATTCATTCCATACTGAACATACATCCATTACCTCTTATATACA